TCTGTGACATGTCATTAGTATTTTTATTTATTGAAGTATACCTATAATATAATATTATTTGTATTTATACCAATGTGATTTATAAAATTTATTTTTGGAATATTTTACTTAATTTAAATGATTATTGTTAATAATATACATATATAATAATTATTGCTGTCATAAATTGTATGAAAGAATCCTTTGTGGTAAACTACAACCAATAAATGGTTAGGTAATTTTTAATTGTATTTCTTATTTTAACCATCACAATATAGTTACAATATAGTAAAATCACATTTAGTTTTTCTAATTTATAAAATTAGTTTTATGTTATTATTTTTATTTTTAGAAATGTAATAAGATATATAATATATATAATATTAATATATCTATTATTTGTTATAATTATAACAAAGCTATCTTTAAACAAAAATATTAAAACATTAATATTCAATGACTTAATTTATCATTTCATTGGTTTATATATTATATTTTATTTTTAATATTGTTCTTACCTGTAACTATTTAAAAGTTTGCTTCATGGAATGTAGATAACGGTGTCTAGAATCTAGTCTATATGGTTAATTTACATTTAAAGACCATTTATTTTAAGTAAATATAAGCTATGAAAATTATACAGGGACAAAATAGTTGGTACTGAAAAATTTAAGTTAAGAATTTATAATTAATCATACTCAATTTTCGTGTTGAACAATGTATCGCTTCGGAGGTTTAAGTCAATGTTAAACCACATTGATTGCAGATTGGTTACACCTCAACACTGCCGTGAAACTTGAAAACACCATTTTGAAACCAGTTAAAAGTTTAAGTGAGGAGGGGAGAATTCGGTTATGTCAGATCCCAAGAGTCAATATTTATATTACATTTTATATGACAAAAAATACTGTATTCTGGACTATACAGTATATTAACTATAGTTGTCCTATAGATGTATAATTGAAGTAGCCGATTACACTAATGTTAAAAAAAACTCTTGTAGAATTTAAATTTTGCAATAATATGCAACACACCAATCATCGAAAATATTTCAAATTGGTCCATAACCACCACATCAACAATATATTACAATAAACATAATGATTATTTATGATTTTTTTTTTATATCTTATCATGGTAAGTATATTGTAGGTACCTAGGTATATTTATATTTTAATTAGGTACCTAAGTAAACACAAATTACTGATTAGGTAAGTAGGTACTAAAATTGGTTTAACATTATGAAATATATTTTTCATATTATAATAAGTAAAAGTACATACTTGGGCGATTCATTTAAAATATTATTAGAACCGTCCACCACAATATAATATATCCAAGCCCCAGTTCATAACTGCAATAACTCAAAATATTAGTTTATTGGGTATAATGTGTTTTCTATATTGTTTCACTACCTATGTAAAGTAATGTAAATTATAATATTGAAAATGCTCTCTTGTGGTCAATAACTTAACTAGTACAAAACTCGGATTTGTTAAAATATTATCTCGAGTTGTTGCGGTTTTGAACTGGGGCGTCGATATTAACATAATATATATATATATATATATATATATATTAATATATTAGTCATTCAATTATTTTAATACAACAAATATAATATAATAATAATACCTACAATAATATCTATATGGTGGTTGTAGCGTAAGGACACAAGAAAGACACAGGAAAGAGTTGGAACCGTACCAAATAAAATTGGTTTTGGAATTGAAACATGGCAGTAAATCTTATTTAAAAAATTTTAGAAACCGGAACTGTTATTTTTTTCCAAGTATGTTAATATTTTCAAAATTTGCCAATTTTTAATGAAATAATGAATGATAGCTATGGTAGTTTTGACAAGTTGTAAAACCATTTTGCCAGTTTCGTATAAATAGGTGGTTGCAAATTCTACCCAAAATGAGCAGGTATAAAAAGGTATTGCTGGGAATAATTTTGAATGTATAACTATTTTATTTAACAATTTCCAATTTATTCCCTCCAATAATAGATAATTTATATTAGTTTACTTTTTTCCCGCGTTCGCATTTACAAAGTTTGGTCATAATTTTTTTGTATACACCTACTGATGTGGAACATCGAAGACTAAAAGACATTGTATCAAACTAAATATTATCATTTTTACTGACAACTTGATCAATAATAATAATTAATAATATTATATAAAATTCAGTAAAATTCCATATCTTCTACGACTTTAGTAGGTAATCATAACATACTATGAGTAGGTTTATGATATAGACTTATAATATAGGTAGAGGCAGTGGCGTACGCAGTGGTAGGGTTCTGCCCCCCTTCCCCCCTGAAATAACTTTTTTCTACAAAAAAAGTCTAATTTACCACCACTCACCAGTATTATACCCACAAATCAATTGTTGGTCATTTTTAATAGATATTATAAAATAAATTGTTGAATATGATAAAAACGTCGATGATCATAGTTTCAGTTTTTTGTTGGCTGATCTATAATATAGCTAAACGTTCATCGTCCATCGATTATTAAGTACCAACCTACCACGTTTATGACGCACAGTGGTCGGAAACGTAATTTAGCTTGCCTAAATTAAAATTTAAGATTATTTTATATACTAATTATGACACAAATCATTATCGACTGTATATTAATTAGGGATAAAATTATGATTATGATAAATTTAGATATTTATAACCTTGCTGAATTCCCAGATAAGCGTTTACAATATATGAAATTGAGGGTATAATGTTATTATTGAGTTCACTTTATCTTGTCACCTGGTACCTACTAAGTACACACGTCTTAGATTTAATTTTTTTTTCTTTCGATATAGGTATATTATGGATACTATTGAACAAGGTAAGTACATTTTTAGAAGTTTTAAATGTATATAATATATATTTTTTTTCAAATTTGAAAATTTCTGATTTTTCAATATTTTTTTTGTAATTTAAAGGGTAGTTTTAAAAATTAATTCATTTTTACAATTTGACAATACATACAAATCATAGCTCAACTAAAGGACTACACATATCAAAAAAAAAATTTGAGTCTATTTTTGAGTCTGTGCTTAAAATGTATTCTTTTCTAGGGACTAGTATTGGAGAGAGTGGTCTAATGAATTTGAAATTTCGCGATCTATTTGAATTGGGGAAAAAACGACATTACATCACTAATGTGAACCAACTTTCTTTATGAGTTAAACCTTTTCCTGCTGTAAGGGCATAAATGTAGTAATTATTGAATTTTAAAATGTGTTTTTTTAGTATTAGACCGCTGAAAATAATACAATTTCCGTAATTGAAAAAAGACAATCTTTTTCACAAGAAAAAAAAGCTAATAAAAGGGTTTGGCGATGATAGATTGGTAATACAAAAAAATGGTTGTGAGGACATCTCATGACCGGGATTGTCCGGGTCATTTAAACCCCACCAAAAAAGAAATGAAAAAAGACAAAAAAATATAAAAGGGGCAAATTATTCAAAATTTTAAAAAATTAATTCCCAAAAAATGTTTAATTTATTTTCAAATTGACCTCTGTATACAGATAATTGTGAAAAAACCGCATTAAAAAATATTGATTTTCTTCGGAGATATTAGTTTAGGCAAGCTTTGATTCGTTTCGACCACTGTGTGACGGCCCCGAAGAGGCTCTGATCGCTTAAACACTGTACATGTAGACTACATTTGAAACAAGTCATAATTTGTTGTATAAAAACTGTTTGGAAAAAAATAATGTAAAGTATTTACTCAGTTAAAACCCTAACCGAACTAAAATCCTGCGTACGCTATACTGGGTAGAGGTAGGTACCTACATTTCTAAATAATAAAACGAAATTATCCATGACCTTTGGTGCGCCGATGCCACACTGCGCACTAATTAGTCCTCAAAGTGTAAGCTTCATAACATTTTATTATAAGTTTAATTTTGCTAAATTGAATTTATAGATTGTGTGGAATGATTTACGACTGCTTATGACGGCGAGACTCTACCTAGGTAACTCACTAAATAATTGCCATATTATCTACCTACCTTTCATCACACGGTGAACCGAATTGGTTCCCGTTACCTAGGTCTTAAACTCCTAACCAATATTATGCACAATATATAAATTTTGTTATTATAATCATTGTTATTTATCTGCGTGATTATATATTTAACGACTTTAATTTAAGTATTAATTAATACATTTTTACATTTGAAAACAGTTCTACCAATTAGGTATTTTCTATTTTTTTTATCTAGACAGGAAATTCGTACCAATGTTTCTGTCGTACTACTCCAGAACAAAACTATACTCATGGCTAAAGTCTAAATATATAGCCAAGACTATTCTGACAGTTACACTATTGTTTTTAGTTAAGTCGTTAAATGTGTACCTAACAGTTGACTAAGTGTTTATTAATTGCTCAAGAGCTTTACATAAAGCCATAGCAACAGTGCAACACTCAGTAGCGAATGGTTGGACTAGAGTTTGTAGGTCTCATTCATGTCAGTCGTGCGGTGTAGACAATTCCAACAGATACCTAGGTGTCCTTGTAGAACTAAAAAAAAAGATTTAGATATCGTTCAATTTCTCAAACAATTTTTTGGAAAGCAACGTACGTCTAAAATTTAAACGAGAGCCAACCTAGCTTACCATGCCTAATAGTTAGATTGGAATATTCCAAACTGGAATCAAAACAGTCAAATGGGAAACAATTAGGTAGGTAGTCATTAGTCAACTCCCGAATTCGCATTTACTTAACTACTACAAACATTTTGAGGTGGAACTTACTAGGTACCTACTAATATTGGGCAGAATTTACACACATCCGTGTATACCTACCCATATATTATATCGAAACTGGTAAATGCTTATTATGACTAATAGTGACTGAAATTTTGAAGAGCTGCAGGGGAACCAAACCGGGAACGAACCCGACCCGGTCTCCGAGGCGACCCCACCGAATATGTAATAACAATATTATTGATATTATACGCTTAAATATTAAAGGATTTTGTGTGGCGCAGGACGTGGCGCTTTCACATGTACGACGGTTTGATCTTGTACGACCGTTTCCAGATCTCACAGAGGCACACGGTCGAGTGGAACCTGTAGAATATCGCCAGTGGCATGGACACGTGCGTGATTATGGTCCACGCCCACAGGCCGTAGAAGTGCAGCTGTATGGGATGCGAGTCGGCCCGCGACTTCTCCAGCGTGTTGATGGCCCACATGGCCAGGTTGCTGACCAACAGGAACGTGACGATCTCCCGGCCGGGCTTCTTGCGTATCTGGTCGGGCGTGACGCACGACCGCCGGGACGCGTCCAGTATGAACACCGTCTGGCAGAACGTCTGCACCAGCGACGCGGACGCGGTGATCAGCACCAGGATCGTGTTGTTCTCCTCGGTGAAGTGGCCGCTGATTATCGTGAACGTACTGTATATGAACGTGCCCGTCTGCGCGCCCACCAGCAGTATGTTGTCCAGCTCGAGGTTCCGCAGTCCGTCGAACTTGAGCTGCCTGACCTGTGGTGGCGTATAATAGGGCACGTTATGCGTAGGTACACGAATGTCATAAAAATCATAATCGTAGGGCGAGGGAATTGAGGGTCCACATTTATTAGGGAACTCTGCAGGGCTCAAAGTAAAAACTATACACCTAAGGAATTTGGATCCTCGATCTAATTTAATAGGGAACCAATATAGGTATTGGTATTGTAAAATAAAAATTGTTATTAGTTATTGGCATTGTAATAAGTACTTATTTTAATGTTTGGTGTGATTTTATTAAAAAATCATTGTGTTAGTCTTGGAATGTTTTTAACATTGTGGGTACCTCGGCTCAAAACGTTGTATCCAACCATTAGGTATTTTATCTAATTATAATATTTGGGACACTAGGTATTCAATGTTATTCTAATGTATGGCTGCTTTATGTGTGCACTGAAATAGCAGCATTATTTAAGTGTTAGCCAGTTAAAATAGTTGAGATTAATAGTTGTATGCAAATGGGTGCAAATTTTCATATTAATTAACTTATTATTACGTACCTATAATAATATAATATAGCTAGGTATAAGTACCTACTTATACTATTAGCTCGAAGTGAACAACCAGATGATTAGTATATATTATGATATATATTACTAATATATTTGATATTTAGACGTATAGGTAATAATAAAAGTAGGTGTAGGTAGGTATATGAATATGGCTGAAATTATTACATTTTATTATAATAAAAATGTTATGAGTAATTTTCCTAAAAATCCGAAAACACACACCACCAGCCAAATTGTTATCCTAACTCTAAAGATAATCCGAAATTGTTCAGTACAATTGTATGTATTGGTATATTGTTAGACATTGTTTGATTTAGTCCTATAATTTGTTGGAACTTGGTTTATTAAATACGATTTTTTTTTAAAAAGCACGGGTAACTTCAAGTTAACTAAAGGAACTGTTTCTAAAAGATCCAAAAATCATCCACAGTTGTTCATTCCATAATTATTATTGATTTTCATATTTTCATCCATTACTAAGAAGAGCAAAGTGCAAAGCTGAACATTGGGTCATACCACTCATACTTAGTGACGTACATTTCTTGAACATTTTTTGTTATGAAAATTTAAATGAAAAAAAAAACGTTCAATAGAAAATTGTTCAGGCGTTCAGCTATATAAGCTCTATCGTTTCTCCACATACACCCTTCACTCCTTTCCTTGTAACGTCCACCATAATACTTTTTTTAGAACACTATCTCCTGCAGTCCTGCCATTTCCAAATCAGTATACAGTATACATAATACACCAAGGCCGTATCCAGAATTTTTTTTTCGGAAGGGAGGGAGGGTGTCCAAAACATGTATATTGTAATTTTATTGAATTTAGGTTTTGATATTTGTTTAAAAATAAGATATTGAAAAAATTGGACCCCCCAGAAACGGCCTTGCCATACACGAATGTCTATTCTTCTCCCTCCACAACTTGCTCAATACAGAACATCATTTATCTTCCTGGTATAAACCCAATATGGTATGTACTCGAAATCATAGTCTTACTACTTAGTACTTATTATTTTTTCAATAACCTATTTCCAAATAATCATACTACTTATAAGTGAAATAACTCACAAGTCTTATAACTCTATAATTTCCTCACTTTCCCATTATAGACAGTAACCAGTAGGTAGAAAATAAAAAAATAAAAATGCTATACCTAGTACTTATTTGATGAGGACTTGATTTTAAGGGGAGACTCCTACATTAGGATGAGATTAAGTTTTGTTTATAAATTTAAAAAAATATTAACATAATTTTTTATGTTTATGAGTCTATTATTGCGTAGTAAAGGTTTTTTCACTACAAATAAAATATTTAAATATTTTTCCTCATAGGTAATAATATTGTCATACGGACCTGCATCATGCCGACAATGGTGGCCAGCGTGGTCATGCCGTACAGCGACAGCTCGCAGACATTCACCTCCATGACGGCAAACGTGATGAGCTCCGGGCGGGAAATGAGCACGAAGAACAGTATGAGCGAGATGATGGTGAGCACCAAGAACAGTATGCCGACGAACAGGCCCTTGTGCGCCTGCGCGCAATCCACCGAGTAATAGTGCGGCGACTTCCGGTAGTGGGTGATCTGCGCCAAGTTTTCACACCGTTCCGCCTTCCGTTGACGGTACACGTCCGCGTGCACCCGACTGATGTTCTTCCACATTACGTACAGTATGGCCGCGCAGATCAGGCTGTACTCGATCGTGCACGGGAACAGGAATGGGCTGGCGTTCTGCACCAGCGACCCGATGATGTTCGTCCGACGGCACTCGTAGATGTGGTGCGGTCCGTGTTGATGCTGCGCCGCAGCCGGTCAGCCACCGACGACATGGCCGACGCCGGTGACTGAGTCGTGGTGGTCGTCCACTTTTTGAACACTGCACACACAACACAGAGTTAAGCCCAAGGATGGTTTATAAATATTATAAGCATAATAATAATGTATTATTATATCATAATTTATATATAAACCCCTTTGGTTAGGTCCTCACCACCGTTAGTGTGACGTCAGCAGCAGCTGTATACAGGGTGGTTTCACACAGGCGAAAATAGCCCACATTTTTGAGGTGACAAGACCTAAATATATTTCATTAACATGGGCACCCGGGGTCGATGTACAAATACTAATTATTATATTTTATATAAATTACATAATTCTCATTCAATAATCTGCTAGGTATATCTCATTAGTTTACAAACACACATAATATGTGATAAGATACTACACAGTTGGGTCACAAAATTATATTTATATGTACATATTTAATTTATGCATAACAACATCTAACAAGATTACATGGGTTAACAACAACAAACGATGTGATAACAAAATTATAAAATATATTTATAGCTTAAACTAAAACAGAATTAAATGATAAAGGTAACTGGTGAGTTTAACAAAAACCAACTAAGGCACAATTTGATTTGCGCTATGAAACTTTTAATTTGTTGTTAGAACGTAAAATAGTCACAATGTTCAATAATATGTATACTACTTGTGAGGTTCGAAATTGTTACGGAGTATAAGACTTTTAGCCTTCAGGGGTTCTGGGACGTTATACGGTTTTGTCTGAACATTTCTCTAAACCTGCACTAAAACTTAAATAGATAAAATAATAATATAACCAGTATAGGTATTAACTGGTAACTATATAAAGTTCCAATACTTGAGACACATATTATAGGCACATATTATGTTATACCTATAGTACTTATTTGATGAGGACTTAATTTTAAGAGGATACTTGGCATCGTTTTGAGAAGTATAAGCACGCCGCCCTTTTTCACCAATATAGTCTGACGGGCCAAATAATGTAGGCAAGGCTGGGCAAGTTAATGATTTTTTTTTAACTCAGTTAAGTTCAAAGTTAATACACACTTTTTGTTAACTTTTTATTAAGTTAAAAAAAGTTAGTTTGTTTATACAATGCTAGCGTATTTAATTTTTTTCCAACCCAAAACTAAATTATATAATATTGTGTTTATTTTTTATACAGTATTTCCATATAAGTTAGATTCGAATGATTTACATTTTTAACTTTAAACAATTCACGGTACTTAATATTTTTTGACATAAAAACGAAATAGACTGAATTAGTTAAATATAATACAATTAAAAACAAAATAAATTAACTTAACTTACTTCTTAAAATGAAAAATGAATTCGTTAATTTTACGATAATTAAAAAATAAATTTAGTAAGTTAACAGTTAAGTTAATGAAAAGCCAAAAGTAACTAGTTAATGCCCAGCCTTGAATGTAGGTATGTATAAACACAAATTGGGAAAAAAAATAAATGTACTATATAACAGAAAATTAACGAAGGGTGGTTTTCCTCACAACATCCTATACGATTACTTAATCCAAAATACTAACAGGACACCAAACGCATGGTTATTAAGGGGTCTTATATAGGCAATTTTAATACAATTTATTATTTAAATACCTATTTAGTACATCTAATAATACCTACTATGCTTAGATACTAATTCCGAGTAAGGATCGCACTATAGGTAGTACTTGACACCCCTACTGTTCTGTATCAGTTTGTATAGACTTACGTGAAAAATGATTTGGTTGTTTGTCGACACCGATAGAATTATCTGCCGGATTGTAAAATGTTAGTATTTCATGTTTGGTTTCCTGTACGAGTACATTGAGCCATACTGACAGATTAGTGCCGATCATGTGCATGAGTCCAAACTTTGCCAAGACCCGGTGACGTGTCACTCTCATTTGTTGCTGCAATGAGGAAACCAACGAAAACATTGAATACATAATATTATCAATTATACTATCTGACTCGTGAAAAATCATTCTTAGAAATAGAATTTTCCATTTACATTTGATTATAATTTCATTCCCAAACATACTTAACCTTATAAATTGGTATAAATGGGTTTCATATTATAAAATAGATTTAAAGGAAAACAGTGTCTTTTAGTTTGTAATATTATTATGTTTAAATATTTTAATTATTTATACATTTGTAGTTATAGTTTTACATTTTGGTTTTGATAACTGGTATTGATTTTTTTCGATTTTGTTTTCAGTTTCAATATCGATTTCGGTTTTTAATAGTTTTAATCAGTATTCGGTATCCAATATTGGTTTCAAGCCCTGCCTTTTAGGACAATAAAAATGCTTAGATTTTCTTCAACAGCATCTTTTCTGATAGGAAAATTTTATTAATCTAGTTGGTCTTTTGAGGAGGTAGAGGGGGAAGGGGTGGGGTCAAAAGTAAAAAATTTCCCACTAGTTTTCAAAAACGTCGGGAAAAACAATAAAAAATTATTACACAAAATCGATTTTGGTTTTTGGTGTAACTTTAAAAAAAAATTACTGTAGATATTCGTCATGAAATATTCACTGAATGTTTATATTAGCATTTGAAATACACCTTACAGTTTTAAAAATATTTTGACTTGTTTTGAGCATTAAGTACAAAGCTCTTAATATATTGCTACAAAAGTGATTAGTGGTTGAAAAATATTGAAAATACATAATCACATTTTTTTTATATAAGCGTTTAAAATTTAAATTTTGACAAAATATGTAAAAATCACGAAAATGTGCAAATTATTTTGAGTTAGACATTTCTAAAAATGTTTATTGTTAATTCTAAGATTTGAAAAATTAATACAAGATTCCTCATAAGTTTGTGTACCTTACCCAAAAAAGAAATCTCGACCGGAAAGTAGTTACATTTTTATGAGGGTTTGAAGTTCAAATTTTTACTAGATACATATTCACTTGATTTCTCATGTACTGATTATTTTTTCTTATATTGTTGTAATTCAAAAATGAATAACTGTAGATAATTTAAATTTACACCATTTATTTTATCAATTCCTATACTTAATATAACTTTCAAAATTCATAACTATTAAGTGTTTTTTCATATAACATTTGAAAAAATATTAAAAATTCATAGGCACGTTTATTTTTTATAAGCTTTTTACGTTCAAATGTTGACATAATTTATCAAAGTGAAAATTTACAAATTATATTGTTGATAACAATTTATAAAATATATTCAACTTTTATTGCTAAGGATTGAAAATTGAAAACAAGTTTGCACGTAAGTAGTTAATTCTGCAACCAAAAAATTTAAAAAATATACATAAACACTGCAGATTTTTTATAGATATTTTAAGATATAATTTGAATGAAATTACATATTAAATAACCAAAAATAAAAATTTACGTTATTTCGTATAATTTTATAATATTACCTAATTCAACTTACGACGTATTAGTAATAACAATATAAATATAATATAAAATACGCTAGACTGACAAACCGTCTCCGCTCAGGTCCTGGGGTCCATATTTATTTATTTATTTATTTTTTGATTGATCTTAAGCATCGAAATAACTATTGCCTTTATCAGTTTGTAGAGGGGTGACGGTTGGTCAAGAATGTGTATATGTTGTGAGGATTCGTCATTAAGAACTCGAGTGGTCACCCATCCGGAAACTAGCGAAACCGGCCAATGATTGATCTCAGAACACGTTGGTGACCAAGGCCAATCACTGAGGATCCTATATTTATTTTATTGTTATATTTTTATTGTTTATTTATACATTGATTTAGAATAAAAAAAATTTTTCTTCTACGTTGCAAACTCTAGCTAAATCTGTGTTCTACAATACTGTTATTATTTTTTAAATTATAAAAATTTGTTAAAATTATTTTACAACATAATTATTTTTAGATTTGTTTTAAGACACTTACTTATAATTTATATACTGATATACGCATTTAAACCCGACGATTACAATTAATTGTAATTATTAATAAATATTAATTCAACTTACATAACTCTGTAAAGAAATAGGTAATATGTAATAGGTACCTACCCTTGCAAGCGCATACCTACATTTTAATCAGTTGTTAATATAAAATATGTGGCGTGATTGCATGAGTACCTATTAATATTAGCATTGAGTATGTAATTTATGCAATATATACTAAATACTGTAACTAACCTATTATTAAGAATAATTAAAACGTATTTGATAAATTTTAGTGTTGAAGTACATAATATGTGAATTTTTTTTTAAATTATTAAATTCATAAAAGTATAATTCCATCTATCGTTTACAAACATGAATCTTACCTCATCATTTAAAAATATAAAGTACATCTGTATAAATATGAATGCCATTCTTGTTGCTGGAGTGAGCACCAGAAGCACGTTGTGGCATTTTGTAGCTGGTTCAAGTTCGAAGTACTGACCGAATTCAAGTCCAGAATAAATCATACTACCTATGCCGAAAGCTGGAAACAAAAAAAATCAAAAATCAAACTGTTATTAAACTCATATCTACTATTAGTACTATTATTATTATTATTATTATCATTATGCATAAATGCATAACGTTTATAAAACCCACATTAGTATGGCATTGACTTCGACATTTAAAATATAGTATCAAAACCAAAATATCTTAGCGGTTTCTAAAAGTCCGAAACAAAACTGAAAACAATAATAAATATTTTGTATGTTTTCAACATTTAATAGATAGCCAGTAGCCAATAGGTAGCTAAGTCGACTATATATAAAAAAAGTTGCATAATAATTATAAGTTGATTAACAAAATAGTTTTTTTGTGAATGGATAATCAGTTTTCGTAAAAACTGTGGGTAGGTAATATTTGTGTATAATTGTACATTGTCTAATTATTGAAGAAGAATTTTGTATTTAGCTACAGGATCGATTTTAAAAAAATAGTATCTTTCAGATTTCTTGATAGTATTTTTTAATTGTAGAATGAATATATTATTATTATGTAACTAATAGTAGGTTAGTACTAACCTATATGGCTATATCTAAACATTAACTTTTTTTTTAATTTAAAAAATATATATTTACAATCTATACGACAAGATATTATAATAAGTATGGTGACATAAAATAACATTTGACATAGGGACATTAATTGTAGAGTAGGAAGGCTCCCAGTAGTGCTACTTGACGAGAAATTAAACATTAACTTACGAAACATTTATCCAATATGTATATGTATATATTATTGTAAGTTGTATAATGCAGGTATTGTGTATTTGTATATAAAACATATTTTGCGTCACTATTTTGAATTTTCACTGGAGTGTAGTATCTGCTGTAGTTACTTCAATAATTTAAAATTTTAAAATTATATATATATATTTGTTTTCATAAAGATAAATTTTTCAAAAAAATTAATTTAATGGTATTTTAGAACCCTAACTACTGCCCTAATTCAATATTATGCGGATAGTGAAATTCGATGTAACCGTTTACCGTTATTTACCGTTTAACGATTAAATCTGTCAAGAAGTTCCATCAGTGGATGGATTCTTCCTTCAAGCCTCCAACCTATCAACTCCCACAGCGCTTGTACTTATTGTAAAAAAAACACATTTACAGATTGTATAAATAAATATTGTAACAAAAAACTTGTAATTAAACTTGAATAACCTATATTGTTTTCAACAATCGTTTTTCGTAAGCTAAATGTCTTAGTCGATTCGACGAAATGAGGAACTAAGGGCTTACTTGCCATTGTGACCAATATATAATAGTTGTAGTGGGCATAATTGTACAATAATATTATAATATATTATATATTTATATCAACATGTTCAACCAACCCACAGCGCCCATTCTCAGATAGAAACTCCCGTAATGCTGGAAAGTAGAAGGCAACACAATGTGAGCCGATTGTCTCCGAGTTCTCGGGTTGTATGATGTCCAATAGTCCATTTCAACGCCACCGGTGTTCGTGAAGTCGTCGTTGTCTTCGTAATATTCTGAGTCACCATCGCTGTTTTCCGAGCCATCTCCGGACAATGAATCGCTAACCGAATTATCTATATATATACACGACACGAGTGTCACGATAATAGTAATTAAATCAACCAACTAAAATAGTTATATACATTAAAACCTCCACTAACACCTCCGGACGTATTCTTGGGAGTCAACTACAAACTTCCTACAGTCTGAACCCTCTGAATATAAAATATTTCAGTGACCAAGAGTGTCCGGTACTTAGAGGTTTCACTGTATATATTTTAACACGATTAACAACGCATAAAATATTATGTTTGGCTGTATTTTATTTTACTTCGAAATATTCACGATACTTACTGAAATTATTGTTGACTGGTGTCATCGTGGGCTTGCCCTTGAGCAGCATTGCGTACATGTAAAAAAGAAACGCCATACTTCCGAAATAAAGGTACAAGTAATAACCCTGAAGAAAAAATAAAATAGTAAAGATACGTGGAGTATAAAAGAAATGATAATAAAAGATAAGTCAATCTTAAATGTTACCTCGTAAAACGAATGAGGAATGTGTGTAGATATCACTTCAGACATCGGAAAAGCTATGCCCATGACGACCAACAGTTTACCATAAAGAGCAGACAGAGTCGTAGCAAGAGCTTGTCTATAATACGTTTGAATAAAAAATATATTACTCAAAAGTAAAAATACATTGAAGCTATAAATATAAACCGAATACACTTTGTAATGCTGTTTACATTTTAGCAGAAAAATTAATGTTATTCTTGAAATACTTGTATATACATAGATATATATATATACCTTGTTTTACATTTTCAATGTTTAGCTATAAAACTGAAAAATTTATAAATTTGTAGCTCCAAGATAATTTGCAAATTTTCGAGATATTGACGAATTTTGTTAAATTTTAAACTTTAAATGCTTAAAAAATCATGCCTATATTATAACTTTAATATTTTAATAGTATAATATTTTTATTATAATAACACTAATGAGGAACTATATTGTATTATATTCTAAAAATGTTTGACCGTCCTTATTAAAAAACTTTTATTGACATCGCATTTTATAGAAAAAATAGAAAATGTCTATTAATAGTTCAAAAGGTGTCAAAATATTTTGAACATTTTATAAATAATCATATGTTGTTCATTTCAGGTACCTATGGTTATTCGTTTTTGAACTAAAACAAAATAAGAAAATCATTCGATGAGAATTTGTTGATTTCATGCTGAAAAATGAAAATCCAATGTCGAAAAATGTAGGCTTCAATGAATGAGTTTTGGTTTCAGTTTAACTTTTTATTCTTGTTAAAGGTAGGAATGCATAATATAAGGAATAGTGTATTAAATTTTCAAATAATTATAACTACAAACATTTTTATAAATTTCTAACTAAAAATAATTTTGCAAATGTTCGTGATTTTACCAATATTGTTATCTACATTCAATCTTCAGTCGTTCATACAATTTGACTGCGGATTTACACTGAAATTTTTTTTATTTTCACTATCGACAACTTATGAGGACTGTTGTATTACATTTTCAATTTGTTTGAACAAGCAAACATTTTTTTATCGACAATACTTTTAAAAAAACCAATTAAAATCTAAATTTACTTATGCCTAAAAATAGTTAAAAAAAAAGTGTCGAAATGTTTTGAAAATTTAACTTTGTATATAAAATGTTAATACAAACATCCGTGAAAAATGTTATGTATTTATAAAATCAGTTTGTCGAAAATTGATAAAAATCCCCGTTTTTCTTAATTTCCCCAACACTTCTGAAAACTTTTGGGAATTTTCCTTTTTGACCTTTTTAAAGTAGGTATCAAATAGATTTACTCTCTCTTCAGAAAAGATACTGAAGTTGAAAATCCAAATATTATTTCAGCTACGTCTTAGCGTGCATACGCATACACACAAAAAAACTTATCATTGTAAAATCAATACCGCTCAGAATCTAAAACAATTTTATTGTGGAAGATCTTCATAACTTTTAATGTCATGCGATTTATTTATAGTCGTTATTTCTCTACAATTAATACATTTGATTATGCATGTCAATAGGCAATTAACAATTAATTATAATGGTTTATTAATAATACGTTATGGGATTTTAACATTTTGCAAAGGAAAATTAATTTATATGTCAATCTGAATTTAAAAGTATATCTGCAGTAACTAATTAATGTACAAATTTAATAAAAAAAAAAGAAAAACATCTTAAGCTGGATTGCACAAAACATTTAATGAATCAATAGTGAGCTAATGGTTCCTTAAACAAAATTTAGTGGCCCGTGATTGCCGATTGGTCCATTACATTTTTAGTGAACTATTCAATCTAATAAATTGTTTATGCAACTCAGCATTAATATATTATAAAATTTATATTCAATATTATATTATACAGCCGGGACTCAACACTCGGGTCATGACTCGAATCTCCAGGTGGATATAAATAAATTATACTTATGTATTTTTCGATTTATATACCAACAAAACTTAAAAACACTTCAATTTGTAAGAAAAAAAATCGAATTATCAACTTGACTGTTATAACATAATTAACATAATATATCTCAGAAGATATTTATAATTATAACTGTGTCTTTTTGTAGTAGAAATAAGGTCAGGCATCAACTTTATGGGATGTTTCTGGTAGCTTATATTGGATCTAGTTAGTAGTTTGTACTTTGGTCGGTCAAAAGTAAAAACGTCTCAATAATTTTTAATACAATATTATTCTCACTCATAATACTATAATAGTCAAAATTATTGTTACTGGAGATTTCAATACTGTATAATATTTATTAGTATTTAATTTTCATGAATCTCAAATCTCAACACAGATGAGGTATACATTATAAACATTATCTTAGTGCAAGGATTTCTATGTAAAAAAAACTTTTTATTGGATGCTTGCTGTATGCCCATTGCACAACTACAAGAGTAAGATATGTTGACGAATCGTGCATTTTTCGATGTTGAGGATGTCAGTGAGCTATTTAGAGAAAAACTCTGACCCACGTGTTACATAGCAAATTTTACATTTACAATAGTGATTATAATCATAATAATTTCTAAATTTAAAGTGAAATGACCTTTTATAAAATTTAAAGGTAAAATTATTATTATATTTTAATTTTTAAAGCCAGTTATATAGATAATAATCTTACCTTTAAATTCTATAACAGTTAATTTCACCAATTTGTTATGATTATAATCATTATTGCGAACGTAAACTTTGCTGTATTGCTAGTAGGCCAGTGAGAGATAACAAATAGTGCGCTGACATTATCTTAAGTCTTAAGAGAATATATTCATATACAATTATATTTTTGCATATTTCACTAATAAAAATATTAAACTATAAATTAAAATATTTTTTATAAATTAAAAAAAATATGGACATTTCAACCATTGCGATGAGTATTACCTATTAATTTTATAATTTATCGAGTAGGTACGGTTGTCTTCAATGCCTGACCGATTTTATAATGAAGTCTGAAGATTATTATTTTTTTAAATTTTAGGTATCGCAGTACGAATAATATTATATAATATTTTGTTATCGCGTAAATTATCACGACATGTATTGGTTTTTAACAACAAAATACCGAACCTATCTTTTTCTTCCCGGGGGCAGTGAATACCAGTTACAATTTTAAAAATATTTTGCTTATGGTCTATTATTTTAATTATATTATTAATTTCGTTAACTATTAAATTTGTTTTGCTTTTAAGTACCTACTATTATTTTGATGTTAAAAAATATATTCTTAAAATATAATTGTTTCGCATTATTTACTAATATTATTTTAGAGAATATTACAATTTTTAAGAGAATATAAGCAGGTACCATATTTTGGCTATTCTAAGATAAAATAAATCTGCACTATTAACATTACACACTAGAGAAGTTTAAGAAAAGTTGATAAGTCAAAGTTTGTCATTATCCGTCTGATCAGTGTGATTATTTATTGTGTGATTTTTTTTTTAAAAGTTCACCACCCATATTAATATATTACCTTCATCATAATTGTTTGCATAAATACAGTTTAACGAATTATATACTCACGCTCCCATTTTTCTCCAGGTATTATGTAGCTCTTCAATTGTCGATTCCCTTTTCATTTGATGAGGTAATTTTTTTACGGAAGTGCTCAGTGCGGACAAATGCTTTACCTTTGGCATCCTAATCAAAATAAAACAATGTGTTAATAATTGTCCCATTGACGGCTATTGTATACTAGCAAGACAGTAGTTAGCTTTAATTCAGTTTGCAGATTCAAAATAAATGAACTATATTGTATATGCCAATTAAAAAAAAAAAATACTTATTTAAAATATTGTGCATAGGAAGAGTAGAAAATGTATTTTAATAAAGCTTAACTGTTGGTACGTTAAATTGGAAAATCGTGCATTCATATACTTATATAAAATATAATAATGATATATTGATATGTATTGGATATGGACGTATCATTTATGATGATGAGTGTTGTAGCCAGGTGCCTAATAAATTCGATTTTCCTATCTAATTACCTACCTATAACTAGAGGTAAGTCGGTAAAGTTGAATATATCAGTACTCACTAGATGAAAAATAAAATTAGTAGGTAGGTATGAATCCAACTAAATATTAATAATAATACATTGTGTTTTAATTGTTTAGGTATAGTAGGTATAAGGTAATAAGTAATAGATAAATATACATACATAATAAACAATATAATAAAAAAGATTTATGCATTGGAACCTGTAAGAATTCTAAAAGAACCTGTTCTGCAACCGGAACCTTTAAAATACTAAGAACTGGAACTGGAAGCGAAACCTTTAGTCTAATAAATAAAATACCGGAACCAAACAGGAATTTTTAAATTAAATAGGTTCTTTTATTTTCAAAAATAAAATTATTTTATTTCTCATAATTGAATGGTCCCTATTACTGTTTTGTGTATAAACTATATATGATCATATGAGTTTTCACTTTTCTAATATTTCTCATACTATTAATTAAGCCCACATTCCTGATAGGAATTTAAAATTATTATATTTTTCGGTACCTAAATTATTTAGAACCGATACCTTTATTATTATTTTTTTTTTATCAAAAAACCTAACCAAACAGGAAACAGTTATTTTATTTTTGGAGAACCAGTACCGGAACCGATACCGATAAATTCAAAAGGTTCCAGTCACTAGCTAGAACAGATCATCATACGTATCTATACATACACTATTTTTTGATTAGATAATTTTATTTATTTAAAATACAGTTGTAACATAATATAATATAATAAATACAATAAATTAAATCTACTCCTTTAAGGCGCCTTTTGCCGAAGCCATTTTGTCCTCAAAAATACACTCCGCGGAAATAACAATACCGCCTTGTAGAATCAACCAAATTTCATAATTTTTTTTTTTAATTGCTAGAGGGAAATATTTTACAGCCCGCATCGATCTCTGTTTTTAAATATTTTATTCTCAAACTTTATAATATTTCTAAAAAAATACAAGATAAAAAGCATTTTTAGAAAAAAATTTTTAACACAATTATTTGAAATAAAATACAAAACCAGAGATCAATGCAGACTGTAGGAAGATAAATCTGTTTTCAGATAAAAATAATAGTCATCAAAATCCAACAATTCCACAAAGCTTTAGAATTATTCCCGTAAAGTAATTTTTTATTCGATATAATACACCCTATCAACACCCCCTTAAATAGGTATAGGGTAGTAGATTAGTGGAAAAGTCTTATAATTGACCTTTTAAGAAACGAGAAACGAGATAAAGTGAAAATGGACTTATAGAATAGTATGACAAAAAGATACAAGTTATTATACTGAATGTATTTAATATTAACATAATGCGAAAATGTAGTAGGTACCTTACTGTAATAATAAGTAATGTAATTACAAGAATAAACTACATATTATTTACCTTTATATTAATTGTTTTTATAATATTAAAACACAATAATTTAATGATAGTTAATGATGAACTATTGACTGCATACTTATACCTACATGAATACCTAATACTTGGGGACTACCAAAAATATCAAATAACATAGTATATAAAATATTATACACAACACTTTTGTGTTTGACTTTGTCTGATTATATTATTGTCAAAATTGTGTATTTTCTAAATCAATTCAGAATACAAAGACTTTTTTACAAAATTCCACAGTCATATTTTATAAAGCTTAAAATTAATATTTTTGCACGAAAAACTGGTTTAATAAAAATTGATTAAATAATGATGGATTGACTTGTACCAGATCTAAATGTGACTAATTTTACATATTATTTTCTTTGTGACTAACTCGTAAATTATAGATTTAATATTTGGCTATTGGTTGAACGGAACTCAACAGTTAAACCATAATATTATGACATTATATACTTACTCAAACAGTACAGAATTTGGCCTTGGTAAAATTTCATCCTTGTTTGGTGTGAATTCATTTGGGGGAGTAGAACTCGTGACCTTTGCACTAATTAACGAAGGTGAAATGTCTGTACCAGTAGGTTTATTAGACCCTTCGCTGGTCCAACTGTCCATCAATGCATACATCAAATAATAATTGTTAATAATTAATATTACAAAATATATAATTATATAATATTCATGTTTGATGATAATACGAAGATATAATTTTAAATTATTACATTTTTCGTAGATAGGTAGGTACTTAATTGAAACTTTAAAAGTTGTTCAAGAATAATTGTTTATAAATTTCACTGTTACTGTATACTCACAATTTGTCTACTTATATCTATTTATTTTTAAGTGGTAATGTGGTATATTATGTTCTTATCTTATTATTTTAATACTAATAAAACAACAAAACAGCAAATTTCACTGAATTTATAAAGTTTTTCTATTTTCTCAAAAACTTAACTATACAAATATAGTTATTAAGTGACTAATATATTGTGTTCTATTTAAAATATAACTAGAGACTATACATATGTTATTTTCACAAGATTTATATTGTTATAGAACACGTGTCTAATAGATAACTTAAAAATAACATAAATTAATAATAATAATAGGTCGCTTTTCCGTTTGCTTTAAATGGAGATTTCATGGAGATTATTCTTATAATAATTTTTCAAAAATTATAATATTATATGCCTAGTCTATAATATTCAATATTGACGATAATATATTATTTTTAAAACATAGTTTTTTAATAGGCCATCTGTTACAGAGCTGAACAATAGGCTGAATTTATAACTTTAGTACCTAATCAATAATAAGATGAAAATATTGAGTAAATATGCCTCCCGATGGAGGTACTTCGTCATGAAATATTATAGTTAATATATTAAATGTTTAGTTCAGGGATTACCAATTAACATTTTTTGATGGCCACTTTAGAAATATTTAGAAAGTTTTCTAGAGCCGTCACAATTTATTGTACATGTTTATTCAAAGAAAATCAAATCAAAATTGAAAATGAAAATGAAAATGAATGAATACCTCATTTAATTCGCAATCAAAAACTAATAATTTAAAAAATAAATGTCTTGTCTGTGGACCAGAAAAGTTCGTCACTATAGCTAATAATTATTTAGATAATTGACACCACTGTCTGTTAGCCTTCTTTTAGAATTTCCTCAAATATTCGAAGATGATGGTTGGGTGATACAAGGGTTGGGATGGTCTGGTGCTCCAATGTTGAGTTAGTCAGTTAGTGAAGCGACAATATATAATTAGCTAATAATGGATAATGGAGTTGAAAATTAAATTAAGAAATATATTATATTTTATTATAATTATATTAAAAAAAGTAGATATAAAATGAGTTTAATATTGCATTTTCCAAACCTAGGTAGGTACTTAATTATTACTACCAGATAACAAGTAATCGTTATAATAAAAAATAATTTTCAGTGAAAAATAAATAAAATTTGTTTAACACTTGTACCTACTTTGTACAAGAGTCTTATTAAAATTTAAATGTCATATTAATGTCCCGAGTGCATTTAATGACGTCCATGGAAAAAATAAACACAATACACGTACACCGGATGTATTTAGCACAACTACTAACCGGTTTTTATTCACTTATTATTCGTTAACGGTTTGTGTCAAAAATGCACTCGTCAAACAAAACACATACTATCACAGTCATTGATTATTTCGTAATAAAAATTGTACCTATTTTTCGTAGTAATATGTGTACCTATTAATTGCACATTATTATATTGTAAAAATCAATTTTCCACCATACACATGTTGTTCGCATACCTACCATACGGTTACAAAATGTATTATTAATAGCAATATATTGACATTTATACGGTACATGTTAAAATATATTTTATATTTATTAGGTAGGTACTTAAATAAATGTCAACAATGTATTGCGCAACCTATGGTAATTTACACTTAGTATTTATATACCTACCTATTTAAGTTTTTAATTTATGGAATCATATTAATATTAACTATAGGTAACCAAGTATTTTAAAAAGTCAAGATTCCATTTGTTATAGACAACGCCTACTCTACTTTAAAAGTGTTTGTTCCTTTGGGAAATTATTGGAAATCATGTCGATACATAATAACAATACAAACTGTAACACCAACCACTATATAACTGAAATCATCCTCAGAGAACTTTTTCCAAAAAATGATAAACCGGTATAGTTCAACAAATATTTATGTCGATTTCTGTGTATTTGATTTAATACAATATTGTTTTTATTTTAAAATAATAGGTACAATACACCATTTGAAATTTCATTGTGTATTTTATTAAATATGACCTGAAGTTTTTGTATCAGATATATTTTATAATAGATAGGTAGCTATCATAAGTGTTGTGGTGATTTAGAACAATTTATATTATTACCATGATCGTTTATTTTTTACCATTTTCTTGTCAATACATATTTTTATCCAAGACATGAAAAACACCTAACAACAATTACCTTATTCGTTCACCTTACGGAGTGAATAAAAAACATCGATCACGACACACAATAGAGTTCATTGTAGCAAATGTCGGAAGTTCTCACATTTACATATTTTCGTACTATCAACCTCGTATAGGCTATATATACTGATAAATGACTATCGATCGATTGCAAATTTGGTCAAAACTCATAACACTATACCTACTATATTATACCTGTTGGCTACTACATTTTGAATAAACATTACATAATATTATGTTAATGGTTATAACGTATATTGGTCGTATCTATTACAAGCATATTATAATGTGAGTGAATCATATTATACTGATCTAATAATATTACGTACTTACCGATATACCGAAGATAACAATTGTATACGAACAAATCAGGCAATGATCAATAATATTGGAAACAAATATAATAATATCTACCTATATACTTATATAATATATTATTTTAGTATTGATACCAAATATCATGAATTAATACAATATGTATGTAGATTTCAAACTTGTAGGTACTGTCAAATTACATAATCATTGCTATGTAGGTATAGGTAGTAATTTCATTCTTTCCCACATAAATTTAAGCTACTCGTACATACTTAATTAGGAGGTATGCATCACTCGTTGAGTTAATACCCATAAATTGTTCAAAGAATTTATTGATTTGCTACCTAGTGTAAATCATTATTATAAAGCCATCGTTGTTAGAATTTATTTAATATTTACAGGTGTTCGTAAATTTCATAATGAATGATATTAAATAAAAAGAATATTAATGGTAGGTACCTAAATTACATAGTTTGTATAATACAAAGAAAAAATATCTTTATAAGTTAAAATCTTATAAGAAAAATTTTAATAATATAAAAAACTCTAAAATTCTTATTTCGTAATTCTTTTATATTTTTATTCCAAAAAAATCTTCGAAATCACTCGTTTGTAAGCATAATAAAATAGCAAACGAATCTGTTAGGTTACTCAGGTAGCGACTATACTGACTATATTATATTACCTATATCTACAATACAAATTGTATTTATTATAATGTAAAAAACATAAAAGTATAATATTTTATATCAATTTGAATATTATATGCATAACTTTGAGCCGTTGATATGATATCGTAACAGCGACGACAATATTTTCGAAACTATTAGAGAAATATTTTTCGTCGAAAACTCGTCGGACACATGCGCTTTGGATAATAATATACAAAATTTAATATTATTCAATTACTATAATACGGTCAAAAAGACATAATAAATCATGTCGTAGTGTTTTTATAGCATGCGTGTAATAGTGCACGAAATACGAAGAATACCGTACCTAACGTTCTCTTCGTCGGTCTTCATGACTGGAGAAAACCGCCAAAACAAAACCAAATATACGATAATATTGACTGTCGATTCGTACTTACCTATACAGGTACTACATTAATAGTTTATTATATTAAATATAAAATAATTAAAAAAAAAAAAAAATACTCAACAGTCAACAACAATACTCACGATAATTGAATAAAATTCTATTATTACGATCGCGACATTGTTATATATTGATATCGGTTAATTTTATATTGTTACCACATTATTATTATTTTAATATTACCTACGCTGTACCGCGGGAACAGCATTCGCCCGAGCGTACGAGACCGTGATGTGCAAACGATTCGCCGACGGGATGATAGGCCCGCTGACACACACGCACACGGCCTACACACGTAATAATAATAATAATAATAATAATAATAATACATTATTATTAAAACCAGTATTTAAACGAAAGGGGGGAGCTCCCCCACCCCTCGGAATGTGGTCCCTGCAGCGAAAAAAAATCTTCCGCTCCGACCGGCGTAAATAAATTGACGATTGCGCAAACAAGCGCGACGGTGAGCTACCACGCCAAAGACAATGATATTATATTGTATTATTATATTATATTAAATACTGTATCATAATTTATAGAGTTACCCGCGGAAGCCGACCGGAAGCGTCGGATGACGAAAAAATTATGTCCGATACATGTTCTATGATGATGGGCGTACGACGAAATCACATAAGAGCGACCAGGCGGGGTGCTCAGCCCCCAAAATTAGTTATAGCCCCCTCAAGATAGATTAATCTTTGAGTTCGTAAAATATCAATTCAAATTGAATAAATAACAATAAGTTAAAACACTCAACACTCACGTACTCAATGCCGCGACGACATCATCGCAATAGGTAACTTCATAAGACAATTTGAAATATAGTTACTTGTTTAATGTTTTATTAAGTATATTAATATTTTATTGGAAAGTTTTTTATTGATCTACTTCGTTGTGGATAACTGCATAAGTGGAAATCCATTACAATTTCAGGGGGGCTAACATTTTTAACATCAATGCGAGAGGGGGGCTTCGATTCCACACAACTAAAAAATGAGAAGGCTTGAGGCACTTTTGGCGGCTTAGACCCACAAGCCCCTTCCCCGATTTCCGCCAATGGATGACTCTAAATTTGAATTACTGCAGGGCGTGTTCACTCAAAATTAAAAGTTTATAATGTACTATTTGCTTCATTGCTGTGTAATAATACATACCTTTTTAAAAGTAACTATTTTGTTTTTAATATTAGTTTCTAGAAAAAAATAGGCAATGCTATGGGGTGGAGGCAAAGAAGCTCCAACGGCTCCAAGATTTTTGGGTTAAATGTGCCATAGCGTCTTATTCTCATAAATTTTCTGGTCAGAACCTCACTAATCCTGATTTGCTGTCATTTCCCATGATCATAAAACAGAATATAAATAATATATAATTGCCCCATATATAGAGTAAACACCCTGACGTAAAAAGCATATTATGTACGTGGGTACGTACTGAGACGCATAGCATTTATCTCTGCAGTATCAATTTCAAGATTTTCTATTTAGAATTACCTAGTCGGTATTTACCTACCGAGGTATTTATTAATTATTTATTATAATGTGTTTGCAATGCAGGTGATGACCATAGGCTCAACTAGGGTTAAAATTCTGGGGGGGGCTAACGAAACTATTTATTTAAAATAACCCATAGGGGGCTTGTATCTAAATCAATAAGGGATATTTGTGGGGGGCTAAATCTTAGTCAGGGAGGCTAATTCCCCCCCCCCATTTGCGCCAACGGTGGTGACAACAAATAAACCAAACAAAATTCATTTGTTTTGATAAAAATGTACAAAAAAACAAAACTGGGAACTCCGTCTGCTTTACGTATTAATGGTAGGTTTCGACATTCGAGTTTTTGACTATCATCGTCATTGAGTAGGTTACTGTAATAGAGTTATGGATATGTTATATGTTAAATCGACGATAAATCATTGTACACCGGGTGATTCATTTAACGTAAGGTTAAACTAAATTAAATTAAACGTTATTAGTTTTTAAAAAAATATTTTTTTTCATAATTTTAAGTCGTTAAAAATCAATATTTTTTAACATAAAAATTGTTTTTAATTTTTCTTGTTATCATTTTTAATTCCATAATCCAAAAAATAATACAAAAGATTAAAAAAGGTGGGCAAGTGGGTGTCGCTCTGCTGTACAGTAGGTTACAAGTGGGTCACTGTATAATGGATGGTATTAAATTTGAATTCAATGATATAATATCATTGTATAAGAAAAACGATTCTGAGCGGTGACGGTATGTCAGTCTATGTATCAGACATATTATATACATATTTATAGTATTAAACAAAAAATTGACCTATAATAGGTACCTATAATAAATTCCAAATTAATCATATCACAATATCCATTAGATACTTATAACGCGTTATACATCAACAAAAACCGTGATACTATCATAGATATATAATAGTACTCTTTAGAAGTTTCAAGTACCCACGAATAATATTATTCAATCACAACAAAATAACTAAAATAGTTATTCTAGGTTTTTTAATATGTAATTTCGTCCAAATTTGAATTTAAAATGTCTGTAAAAAATAAGTGTGTTCATATATTTTTTAGATTTTTTGGTTATAGTATGAACTGTTTATGAGAACCTTTGTGTTGAATTTGTAATCCTTAGCTATAAAAACTGAACATTTTATAATTTATTAATTACAATGATTGATAATTTTCGAGATTTTGATAAATGTTGTCAAAATTTGATCTTTGAATGGTTATAAAAAAAAAAACTGTGCCTATGTATTTTTAATATTTTTCAACTGCTATTGTAACAATATATCAGGAGCCTTGTATTAAATTTTTACACTTTTTGGCCAAACAGATAAAACTTTATTGATTTTTATAGAAAAAAAAACTAAAAAAAATTGAAAGCTGTAAATGTCCATAAACAGCTCAAAAAGAGTCAAAATATTTTCAAAATTGTATGGTGTATAGAAAATGCTAATTTAAACATTCAGTGAAATTTTCATGTATCTACAGTTGTTCGTTTTTGAATTGCAACAAAATAAGGAAATTGCTACATGAGTAATCGAGTGAAAATCCCATGTTGTAAAAATTTGAATTTCAAACGCTCATAAAAATTTAATTTGACTGTCCAGTAGAGATTTTTTTATTGATAAAGGTAGATAATCTTATAAGAAATCTTGTGTTTCATTTTCAAATCTTAGATTTAAAAAGAAAAATTTTTACGAATTCTTAACTCAAAATAATTTGCTAATTTTCGTGATTTTTCCATATTTTGTCAATTTTTGAACTTAAAATGCTTATAAAAAAAAATTGTGACTAAGGATTTTTAATATTTTTCATCTGCCTTTGAAACAACATATTAGGATCCTTCTATTAAATTTTCAAGCTTTCGCAACCAACAAATAACATTTTATTGATATTTTTAGAAAAAAAACTAAAAAAAAATGGAAAATGAAAATGTCCCTAAACAGTTCAAAATAAATCAAAATATTTTGAAAATGTTATCGTGTATAGAAAATGTAATTATAAACAACCAGTGAAAATTTCATGTATCTACGGTCATTTGTTTTAAAGTTACACCAAAAACCAAATTCGATTTTTTGAAAAATCGATTTTGGGTAAAAATTCCCGTTTTTCCTTAATTTTTATGTTGTTTTTCCCGGCGCTTGTGAAAACTACTGAAAATGTTTACTTTTGACCCCCCAAAGTACCAACTAGATTCACTTTCCTATCAGAAAAGGTACTATTGAAGAAAATCGAAGCACTTTTACTGTCCCAAAACATGATGACAGACACAAAAATAAAAAAATATAAAAATATAAAAAAAAACACACATCATTGTAAAACCAATACATTCATCGCTCCGCTCAGAATCTAAAATCTTAAAAATATTAACAATTTAACAACAATAAATAGTAACAAGATGTTGTTTAGTAATGACTCAAAATTATGTGACTTAAAGCAGGGCTTGAATTTGAAAAAAAATTCCGTTTTATGTTATTTACAATTAAAACGTTATTCAACTATTGCGTTTACCGTTATTCAGAATTAAAATTTCATCCAAATTTTGCGTTTATCGGTAATTAAAATAGTGTTAATAAATATTAAATTTAAAAATAATAACTAATGCGTGTATACAATGGCCCGGATACGGAATATAATAATATAATCAATTCTTAGATTGCTTGCATGAAATAATTTTATTGTTTCTACGAAACCAATAGACTTTTAAATAAATAGATTTTAAAATATTTCTTTTTTCGTTATTTTTCGTTCAATGATTTCCTATAAATTACGTTTTGAGTTACCTATGTTTTGTTTAATGATGTATAATATATTTTGTTAATCGTTATGTTTTTTTTTTTTTTTTGAGGTATTTAATTATTTTTGATTATCTCTTTCCGTTATAATTACGTTTACAAAGTTCAATCGTTTTTTGTCAAATATAACGTTATAGTCATAACGTTATTATAACATTTGTAGTACTGCCTATAAGAAATATTAAAAAAAAATGTTTATACTTTCTGAAATAAGTTGTTGTCTTGAGGGACAAACGTCACACTGCGTACAATCATTGATATAATAATTATAGCTCACGTACTGGACACACTTTCTTCCTACGTAACTCTAATTTACAAATACCCAAACTTAAACATGACTAATCCAACCATATCATTGAAAATTTAAAAAACACACTCACTTATTTTTACATTAATATTATTTATAAATGTAAATATAATAGTTTACTGTCTAATTTACAAAATTATAACATTAAATCGATCTTTGACTTAAAAAAAGATACTTTTTATTAGATTTAGGTCGATTTTCAACGATATACTTTTCAATAAATTGTAGCATTGTTTCAACTACAAGGAATACTATCCAAAAATATTTTTTGAAAATAACAATTTTCTATTTTAATATAGAATGTATGTGTTTTTTTTTGTTGTATGATCCTTTAAAATATTTATATTTATTTATCAACGGGCTTATTAATTTATTAATATTGAGCTACTGTTAAAATTATAATGTTTATTTTACAGTTTTACCAGATAAAATATTATCAAAATAATAGGTATTCAAAATAAATGAATAAAATAATTGAACTATGCTTATAATGAAAAGAAAATGCGTTTATTTTGTCTAACTACAAATTCCAGATTCCTTAAATACAAATTATACAATAAAATAGTAAAGAATAAAAAGTTAACTATGTAAAATAAAAAACATTTAAATCGGCCTTGGTAGCCATGTAGTCAATAAACAGTCGACAGTCCAAATAATAATGGTTATTAACTTATTAAAATATATTATATATCATTTAAAAAAAATTATCCACTCCATAGAATAATAATAATAATAATTTGCTACTTAAGCAGCGGTCTTAGCTAGCGACTTTCTTGGTTCCAAACTTAATTTGAATCCATCAGTCCTCTTTAAGATAATATCAGCCTGGAGTTTCCAATCTTTTTCGGTCAAATTACTATTTATTTTGAAGTTTCGTAGGATGGTCGACAAAATAATTTTTAATTTCAACATGGCATATTTGCGACCTGAAAAAAATGAATTATTGACGATTAATAAGATTATTAATGATCATGTCACTCAACACTATAAAAACAAAAAAGTTTTGCATAAAATACAATTGAAAATACGATAATTAATTTATAAATTTGATTCACAAAAGGTTCTGCATAGGTTAATAATTAAAATAAATGTATACTCTTGTACTTTAGACTTTAAGTCGAAATTTGAATAAGCAATTAACCGACCTTAACCTTATTTTAATACAATTGTGTTTCATAACGTAAAAAAAGTCAATTTTTAAATGTTTAGTTTGATCCTAATTAAAATTGTGCTTATAATTGTATTAATTTGTAATTGAACATAGTATATAGAAGGTGGTTCGTATCGAGTTCATAATAACGAACATCAATTTACTCAAAAGGTACGAAATTTCAAGATTTGAAATTCAAAACGAAGTACTGTCGTAGGTATACGATAAATTGAAACGGAGTTTTTGTATTTGTCAAATTCTATCGTAATAATTTAATAGGTATAATAATATAGTGACATACCGACGCAACTTCTGGGCCCGGCGCTGAACGGCACGTACGCGTAATAATGGCGGCTGGCTGATTTTTCCGGCAAAAAGTTGTCGGGGTTGAACACTTCGGGATTGGGGAATGTTTCTTCGTTGCGGTGAATTTTGAATGTGGCGATGATGATCGTGGCACCGACCGGCAAGGTTATGTCTTTAGAAGCTGAAAAAATAAAAAAATCATCGATTATTACAATAAGTTATTTGGACATAAGTATTATATATGTTCGCGCAGTGCTAATAATAGTAATTTATAAGGATTCCGGCCGAGGCGTTGAATTTGGACCCGACAAACGTACGCGAAAAACCAGTCTCAAAAATCACCCATATTGGGGGAGGGGTGGCTAGATAGTTAGATTATAAAAATCAGACATAAATCTTTGGAATGCTCTAGAACTGAGGATCGGTTGTTCGGCCTTTGGTCGTAGAACATAATATTATTATTATAATTTATAATATTATAATATACAACTGGCCGGAGAGCGGTGACGATCAAAGTTAGCATAACTATTCGAGAATGGCTAAATAAAACGCCGAAATTATGGCACTGACACCGTTGTCATGGGCTTACGTGTATAAACTTACCAAGTTTAACTTTCTCATTGATTTGCCTTGAGATAATCGGAACTGGAGGGTACATGCGCAACGTCTCCATGATGCACCTTTCCATGTATTTCATTTGTAATGTGTCTTGGAACGTCACCGGTCTGTCGGAATCACCGAATATCGAGTACAATTCATCGACGACTTTTTGCTACAACGAAAACGCACATAAATCAAAATGGGAAACTTCTATATGACATAAATCGAACAATTATTAATGTCGAGGGAGTCTTACCTGTACGTCTTGGTGAGCACCCATCAGACACAAGAAGAAACTGCTGCCGGCTGCTGTTGTATCGTGACCCTAATAAAAAAAAACAAAACCAAAATATAAACTTTTCAGTTTTTGCAATTGTATATTATGCGCAAATGTATAAATCATTAAAGAACTGAGAAAGTAAAAATGTTTGATATGGGAGAAGAAATTAATTAGTAATGGTTATTAATCTTTAACATCGTATATCAATATAATTACACGTATATGGAAAATGTTAGGGTCTAGGTAAGTATCGCATTTTTTTAAATGAAAATATTTAGTTGAATAATAAATAATCGGTACACTAGTTTTACTGTTGGAAAGTTTTTTTTTACAACTTTTATCATCGGTTATTTATTTTTAAATTATATTTTTGGAACGAACCTCAAACATGATTGTATCGACTTGTTCACGAACTTCTTCGTCGGATAATACAACTCCATTTTCTGAGCATTCGATTAACAAGTCCAAAAATGCCACTCTCTTTTTCTCGCCTACAGATTAAAAACACAAAAGTTTCTTTATAACCAGAACAATTATTTATGTATATAATGTGCATTACCAATTCCATCGTCTTCTACGTCCAAGTCGTCTTTCAGACCAGCAGACTGCCCAAATGAGTTTCCGTACGGTACTTCTTCTACTTCAAGTGTTGAACTTGTTTCAACGATTTCCTCAGAAGCTGCTGGAATGTCAGAGACCTCTTTCATCAGACTCTTTTTCTTCAAAAATTCTTCCTTCTTCTTAGCCAATACCTAGAAGATTTACAAAAATATTTTTATCAGACTTTTATCATAAATCAAAATAGTATTATATTATTATACTGACGTTGTTCGTCAAACCGTGAATCAGGTCAAGGAGTCCAACTTGTTCCTTTGCGTACTTTGTAAAATTGAAAATAAAATCTGGTTTCAGCCACAAGTTGGTATGACGCATATGTAAAATATCACACATTCTTTAAAAACAAAAAAACAAATTAATTATTTTAGGACAATCACAATAACAGTATCTATATTTATGCTCATCAGTACTTCTCATTAATCTAATAGGTTTCAACAAAATATTCGGCTCAAAAAAATCAACAACTGCAATAAGGAGCTGATTGAGACCGAACAGTTGATATTCACTAATTATTATGCCATGTGTTTTATTTATAAATTGAAATAAGAGTAGCTATTTAATATATAAGGTATTATGGAAAGCTAAACTACCAATCAACTGCTGTAGGTAATGTAATTGATCCTAATATTGTGACATTATCACGGATTTGTTTATCACGGAAAACGCATTGTTATGAGCAGATATAACTCTAAATGAGATGTATTAGGATTATGTTTCGTTTTTTTTGGTTCACTTACTTCATAACAGCAGCAGCGTATTCAAAACCACTTTTCTTTTGAGTTTTCTTGCTCACCCCCATGGCGGTCTCTGTAACAATAAAATAAATGGAGAGGGTTAGTAAAATATGTCACGCTTAAATAGTCAACGACGGTATAAAAGAACAATAATGTATTGCAAGGGGCTTCTAAAACGTCGGACTTACCCAACAAAATCTCCACCGTGCACTCGCTCATGAAATCGTGAATGTCAAATGTGGAGCTGCCCATTTTTCTGAGCTTACTGACTGTGTCACGGCTGTTGACGTTGAAGAGTGTCACGAACGACTTGAGCACGTTCAAGTGGAACGTCGGCGCAATCAATTTTCTGTGGGCCCTCCATTTGTCACCTGTCCAAAGAAAAAATCATAATAAAATGAAGTTTTAACAATGATATCTATATACATGGCTTGTGGACCTTAAGGGTTGATAGTTTGATACATTATTATATCTCAAAAATCATTATTTAAATTAATTTTGTAGTAGGTATCTATCACTGCGATTGAATAAAACATTATCCCTCTACCTTTTTGAAAATCCTAAATAATCTTCCAGTTTATGACAGTGTGTACGTTATGCTTACCGGTGCTTATCAACAGACCATTTCCTAACCATGGTTCAAAAAGACGGTATTCGGGAGATTTGTCAATATACACGTTACTGCTCAGGATCACCTGCAGATTCAAACACAATACTATATAGTTTCACGTTCGCATTTATGCCGACGGAAGGTAGCGAAGAAATTATATTTAATGTATAAACATATGTAGGTACGTTACCTCAACGTCCCTGGGATCGGTCAAGAAAACCAACAACCTGGGACCGATCCACATCTTGATGGGTGAATTCCTTTCGAATTCAAAACTCCGTTCGTAAATCTTGTCGAAAATGGCTGTGAATATAGAATATAATAAATAATAAATTAAAAAAACTCAAATTGTTTTAGTTTAGGAGTCGCCATATTATCAATAGTACTGTTATAATATTATTATTAATAACTCACTGTGTGGGTCTTGCATAAAGTCCAACGCATTTCCCAGCAGAGGTAACCCTTCAGATCCTGGGATCTTACTGGCGAGGTCGTAGAGCTGCTTGCGTGACATCCGGAAGTATATGTACCATAATACGATTGCCGGCGTGAGTAGGTAGAAAAACAGATTGAATGCAGACAGCGCGAAGAGTGGGTTGACACCCTGAACGTTGGTCACCATTCTGCACAAGCACACGGTTATTGGTTAATAAATCTTAATTCGGTATATGATGATGTTTCTAAACTTTCATAAAAATTCTATCGATTTGCGTTTATAAATAATAACCAAATAATATACCTATGGTAGGTTAAAATATTGTAGTTAATACAATATGTCGATAATATGTTACATGATAATATATTGGTAAGTATTTAGAATAATTTCAATGCAAATATTAGAGTATTTAAATCCTTTGTTTCATAAATATTATTATCCATATAAAATAGGTACCTACAACCTACATAAACAACAAAATATCCAAAGAATCATTAATATGCGAATAACCGATTGATATGCAAACGGACATGATATTAATAACCTTATAATATTTATAATTTGACCTGTCGTACCTACGGACTAGGTTAATTAATAATATGATAATTGGTTAATAGGTAAAATGTTTATCAAATATGTATAATGAATTAACTGTTTTAATGAATTTTCAAAATCTATTATAATTTTATATTTTTAATTATTCGGGTGATTTTGCCTATATGAATAGTTATGTCTATAGTTGGATTAATATTTAAGGGCTATTTCGAATTAACATATTTTGAAATAGTTCTTCGACTACCTATATTTTTCGAAAAAATTAACGTTAAATACAAATAATGTTACTTTCCAAACAGAATAAATATTTGTTCAGATACTTGTAAGATATATGCACGGTACAATGTGACTAGATAAGTCCTAATCTGACATTGTCATTAGTTTCGTATATCTAAATCATATTCGACGCCGTTAACCTCTAAAATAATAATTATACTTAGAATATCTACGGGGTGGATTTGAAAGTTTTTTGAATTTTTTCTGGCTAGTCGTATTAAATGCTAAGTAAGCTCAAATAACGTTCAGTATTGTGAATTTAAGTATACAACTTTTCGGTGCATATTTTTGCAAATTTAATCTTTTTAGTTTTTAATACATATCGTTCGATTTTAAGGTCATATTTCATTTATGAATGAATATTTCAGTATTTTATCACATTAAATGTCTTTTGAAAAATATTTATCAATTGAGGAAAATGATTATTATAAGTAGGTACTGGTATTATATACCTACATGTTTTAATTTAGCTTAAATATAGGTTATTTGATAATATAATGTAGGTAGCTACTCTATTTGTGCATTATTATTTTTCACGTATATATTGAATTTCATGTGAAAAACTTTAAACATATACCTAGGTACCTAATCATTTTTATTAATTTTGGTTTAAATTTTCGTTTTTGAATTAGGATTATAATTTTTATATTAAGTACCTGAGCCTAATGTTTTATCAAAAATCCATTACATTATACCAACATTAATTGAATGTTCTTCTTCGTTATCATCGAGATACATAAATATTAAAAAAGCATTAATTATTTCATGTTTATAATTTAACATATCACAATCATTGCCAACAAAAAAATGCTATTTTTAAAGCCAAATGAATTTTGTTTACAAATTACTATTGTATGTTACTCATACGTGAGCTACGCAAATGGTTATAGACATAATAATTTTTTATAATAGGTATTAAATTAAAACTGGTTTATTACAAAATAACAAAATATGGATATTAAATTATGAATAAAACTACCTAATGATTAAAAATTCTGTTCCAAATTAATATTAATACACAATGTTTCAAAAGTATAATTTTATTTTGCTTTTGTTATAATTCCGTTCTGTATGTAATGATTTTTTTATAATAATATTTTAATAATATAAAAAAAATTTAGTTTGACTGTAATACTTTTTTCAATGAAATCATTAATTGTTATTTAATCATTTTAGTTTATTATAGTATTTGAGAAATCGAACAAATACATGCAAACGACAATTTATATTATAGGTTCATTAAAAACGACTTACGGCAATTATACAGTCCTTGAAATATTTGAACAGTTTAGTGAAAATATTGTTTTTACAACTATAATGTACTTACTACCATTTATTAGAATTATTATACCTATGAATATTTCAATTAAATTACATACCATAATATCATATAATATTTTTAAATGTTGTCACCTAATTGGTGTGACGCTATCAGTAAAATGTATAGGTAGGTTAACTATTTGTGTTGTATGCAACTTAACCCGAACACGCTTAACTTAGTCTACAAAATGTATGTTTTTATATTATACCCATTTGGTATTCGAATAATTGGGGCTTTTTTTAATTAAAATAATAGTTGTTGTAAGAAAAGGCACTTAACACTAACATATACCTAATACCTAACACTACATATATCAAATAATAATTAGTTGATTAAAATGATACATTTCTGGTCAGGTGGCACTGCTGGGAGCCTACTGCTGCTCTTCCTATTAATGTTATTTTATGTCTCATGTTGTTATGTCACCACACTTACTCATTATACCTTGTATGTTGTATAGATTGTAAATATACTTTTTAAAATAAATAATTAAAAAAAAAATTTTTAAATTTTGGTTACGTCCTAATTATTTACTATATTATTTAACAATCCATTCAAGAGTATAATCTGACATGTATATTCATTGATCCGTTATTTATGATCGACGACAAAAATTATGAAACATTTAAAAACATCATAAGATCTTTGATTTACTCTAAGCTATAACAATTGAAAAAAAAAACAGTTTTCTATCGCAAGTATTTATTATTATTTTTTCACGAAAAACTAAAAATTCTTCTATGTTTCGATCGAAAGTCGTCGATCAAAATAATGATGAGGTCTAGTGATACATGCTTCCACATCATTATACATGTTCAGTATCAGTAAAATAATATTAACGATCGATAAAGTATAAAGAAAATACAGCTGCAGATTAGGAACGACATAATATTATAATACTTGACTATAATCTAGAATGGACGTGCTTAAAATATTATAATCTATAATGTGCAAAAATGAAAAACTATTACCTGTATCATGCAATGTCAACGAACTCTTGAAAAATAAAAGCCAATAAGAAAATAATAAAAATCAACTGAGCACTAAAATGCGAATGAAGTTTGGAGAGCTCCGCTCCAAGCTACTGCACACGGTGTTGTCGATGATGTCTAGTTGTCATGTAAATGGTTGTTGAAGGAACACTGAACGCTGAACACATAACACGGCTTTGGGTACGACCAGCTTTTATATACCCATTACCCACTCACCGTACCCGTACGAGTATAGTATGCCAGTGAATACGTAATTAAGGAGGATCAAGGATCACCTTAATTTCCATCGTCATTAATACATTATTACTATTATTGTTTTTTTTTTTTTTTGTTTCGTCTGACCATTGGTTTTAGACACATAACGTCAAGTGGTGAGAGAAATGTTCGATTTTGTAGGTTGGTTTAATAACAGAAAAAAAAACACCGATGGATATTAACTATGATATTTGTATGTACCTATAACATATTGTGCATTTAAACTATAATGAACGCACCAATGTTCTATTATTGCAATATTTTCATGATGTTTTCGTTTTTATATTTTTATATTTACGAGTGATAATCACAAACACGGTGAAAAATAAAACTTAATTACTCGATAATATTATAAAATAGGTACCTACATGGGCAAACCGAGTTTTCATTGACTGTCTATAAATCGTTTTCAAACGGCCACCAAAAATATAGGATTCTCTCCGGATTTCTCAAAATCAATTTCATATCAACAATTACATAGTAATAATGTTCATACTTTATGAATTTTATTATATATTTACTAAGAGTTATTTTCCAATTTCAAAACAACATTTTCTGTGTTCTTATACATTTATGAACTGTTATACAATACACATTACATTAGCACATTTCTTATTTCATAATATTAAACATAATGTCTTTATTTGGTTTTAATTTATCACTACGTTAACTTAAATATTTTATAACGTTGGGTTGTCTATTTTAATTCAAAATTAATTTTAAATTCTGTTTAATATACAAACAATACGTAAACAATCGTCTAAAATACCCAATATTTAAATATAACCAAAATATTTATTTCTCATATTAATATAAATTGATTTGAATATAAATAAATATTTTTTATCAAATATTAACTAAATTAAATTAACATTCAAATAAGTAAATTGATTTATATGATAAATTATACGCAAGTAAGTTATACTTGATATACTAAGAAATGAATACTAAAATACAAAGGTGAATATCATTAATTAATTTCCATTTAATGTATCTAATTCAGAAATGAATTACCGCATAGGACATAGAGTCTTGAAATGTTCACTTAACATCAGACATTAGGATTCTCTAGACATGTTATAATTATAAAAAGAGTTTGGCTGTATTTGTAGTTTTTACAGACATTTTAAATGTTTTCCTTTTTTTTTATAATCACAAAAATATTTAATGCAAAAAAAAGTTTGAAAAATGAATACGAGGTTCATTATTAAGTTGTTCTTAAAGCAGATAATAAGTATCCATAGTAAATGTTATAGGCTTAAGCAAATACCTAAGCATTTTAATTTCAATACTTGACATTAACTGTCTTATAAAACATAATAATGTTATTACCAAAGGCTTAAGAATTGAAACAAGTTACATTATAAATTAAAAGCTTAAAAAGTATAAATTGGACCTACTTTACTATTTTATAAGCGTTAAAATTCTAATTTCCATGTAATTTGATATTTATAAAAAAATAATGATTTTTATTTAAAAGATTTTAGTTATTATGTTGTAATTTAGAAAAATATTAATCTGTAGGAACTAGAAATATTCCACTTATACTTACACTTAAAATTTTATAATATAATTGATGACAATTATTTCAAAATAATTAAACTAATTTTAAGTTATCTTTTTAGTTATTCGAAATGTTCGGATTGTTATTCTGTTAAAAATATGCATAATTTAATACAATACAATACCCCTCATAAATTGATCTTATATCAATTTAAAATATTAAAAATACATAAAATACATAAATGACACAAAGTTTGAATCCAATACCTGTAAATTCAATTTAT